GTGACACTTGCTTCGATTGAATAATTCAACTTAGTACGCATTCCTGGATCACGATGGCAGTACAGTCTTCTCTGTCAGTTTCATGGGGAAAATCATGTGATGAGATGATGGCAGAATCAAGGAGTTTAAGTTGGTCTGATTCGTCTTGGGTTGCAGTGTGTTGCTGTTGTAGGGAGTTAAAATGGTTCTCTAACTTTTGTAACATCTCTTCTTGCTTCGTAGAGGTTTCTGCTCATTTAAAGTTAGTAACTGAGATCTGAAGAGACCTTAATTCCTGTTCGAGGTGGCCGACTCTGGCAGACAGATCTTGGTTAATCTTGTGCATGGCCAAAGCATCACTCTGTAGCTTCATTATCAGGTCCGACTGCTCTCGGATTATAGACTTTTGGTCATCATATATCTGAGTCAATAGTTTGAGCCATGGATTATCAGCGAGACGCTTAAAGTCGGAACATGAGGAGGCAGCTCGTTTAAGTTGCTCCATATGGTTACATAACTGTTGCATGGCTTGAGTCGGTGACGATGCTACACTCAGCTGGGAAGGTTTGTTATTGTTGTCGAAGGGAGGGTCGGTAAAGGCAGCCATTAAGGGGGAGACAGCCGCATTATTCCTGTTGCTAGCTTGGCTGGTTGGGTTCATCCTGATAGGTGTGCTATCTTTCTTTGCGGCCTTACAGAGCTTAGAATTGTTTTGCATGGTAGCAGCAGAGATGTACGCAGGCAGATGGGATAGACTCGTTGATGTGGCAGCAGCAGGCGTCAGGTTAGCTTCCTCCAGGGAGCAACACTAATGAGGTCGAGATGAGCTAGTAGGTTAGGTTTTGTCGTATATTTCGGTCACATTTAGGTCACTGGGTACTTAGCTGTCTTCTGGGGTTGTTACATCATGTTTGGGATGTTGTGGGCTCAATGAGCAGCTGATAAACTTAGCGGGGCAGCTGGGTCATCAGGAGCGGATGAACGGTCAGGACAGACAGACTACCTACAGTTGGTAGTGATCCCCATTCCCGTTCTACAGGTGGAAGTGGACTCCATACCCATCCTATGGGCAGTTGTGGGCCCAAACCCATCCTCCAGGTGGTATGAACCCCTTACCCACCTAACAGGTGGTAGTTGACCCCATACCGATCCTACAGTTGGTAGTCGACGCCATACTATCCTGTTTACAATAGTTTACCCGATAGATATTTCAACGTAATATCGTTTTCTGTTGACGTTCCTATAATTCGTCCTCTAAAGATTTTCAAAGCACAGACTAGTGTATATAATCTTGATTGGCGAAGCACTCTTAATATATATATATAATAATTTATAGTGCTTATTATAATTTTACTGAGAACAACAATGCCTAAAGCATTTCTCAAAACAAAACTACGAGCTTTTAATAGGATGTAGCTGATCCATGATATTCGAATAGCATCGACAATAGTAGGTAAATGTCACAACACATGTGGGACTGGAAAAAAATATATAATTAAAATTGAACCAATCACGACTATTCTGCTGTCTACGGCGATGGATGGGGTATTATAGGACGTAAATTGGTACGTGAGGAAGGGTTAGTGCCTTGAAAACAAATATTAACTGGGAATCTACCACATAGGTATTCTAAACTGTCACTGACACTGTCAACCATCATAACCTTCTTCTTAAATTGCATCATTATGGAGTCAGGGGTCACTCCTTGCAATACCTTTGGTTGTACCTTACTGACAGACTCCAGTATATTTCTGTGAATAATTCTATTTCTCCTACCCTACCCATAAACATTGGTGTTCCACAGGTTAGCATACTTGGCCCTCTAATCTTTCTCATCTACATTAATGACCTTCCAATGCCTTACAACACCTCAAACCAATCTTATTTGCTGATGACACAACCTTCATTTTCTCCAGTCCTGACCCTCTTGTTCTAAATATCACAGTGAATACTGAACTAAAGAAAGTCCATCTTTGGCTAACTGTTAACAAACTCACTCTTAACATTGACAAAACTTTCAATATTTTGTTTGGTAATAAATCCTCAAATGAAATTTATCTAAGAATAAACAATATCCAAATTAGTAACAAAGTTGATGGTAAATTCCTTGGTATCCTCATCGATAACAAGCTGAATTTCCAGGGACACATTCTAAATATAGCTAAAAAGTTTCTAAATCTGTTGGCATTGTTTCTAAGATCGGATATTATGTACTTCGCCCTGCCATGGTGACGCTTTATTACTCTCTCATCTATCCTTATCTCAATTATGGCATTTGTGCTTGGGGTTCTACTACCCAAAATCATTTACGTCCTCTAATTACTCAACACAAAACTGATATTAGAACAATATCTAACTCTGGCCCCAGACATCACTCGGTACCCTTACTTAAATCTTTAAATATGTTAGATATTAAGTCACTGTAATGTCAATCATGACCTTAAAAGCTTCTTAAAAGGTTGTAACAGAACCCATGGGCACCACACCAGAAACAAATACCTATTTTACATTCCAAGAGTACGACCTAATCAAACTAGAAATGCTCTACAAATCAAAGGATCCAGAATGTGGAATGACCTTCCCAATTATGTCAAAGACTATACCTATCTGAACCAGTTTAAGATAAAAACTAAAAACTACCTCATAAACTCCATGTAACCTACCTTACCCCTAAATGTCAACCCATGTATTGCTAAGTAAAGTAAATTTTATTCAGTAAAGTACATACATACTAGATTTACAAACATAATGTTGGATTTATAGATAGAGCTAGTTAGCCATTGTAATCAATGCTGTTTGTTGACCAACTTGTATAATTGCTATTCTCTGCCTTTCCCCCTCCCCCTTATTTTATTATTTATTTTTTCAACACAATTTATACCTTAAGATCAATTACTATTAAGTTTTTGTCTAAGTGTTTTTTTCCCTCACCTGCCCGAAATGCTATGCGTACCAGTGGCTTTAGGTATTGTATGTATTATCTTTATCTTTAAATCCAACATTATGTATGTAACTCAATGTATGTACCTTTACTTGAATAAAAAAATCTAATCTAATCTAATTAAAACATTAGCAAAGTAGGGACTATAGGCATTTAGTCATATATTTGCTGTCTTATAGTGAGAACGGGTTGATTTGGGACTATCAGATTATGTTGGAGCATGTAGTCTGTCTCAAGTCTTACAACCTCCTTCTTCCGAGGATATAGTCAGTAGGAATGTTGCTTTATCGGTCTCACGCCTTCCTTAAGGATAAAGTCGTGCTTCAAGAAGGACGTCAGACCTGGAACATCTCCGAAATTAGACTTATATTGCGTTATTAACTGTATTAAGGATCTCCGTTGCTCCTCAGGCACATGAGTCTACTTGGTAGGTAGATTCAGCAGAATCTCCGAATTCGATGCTTCTTGCTTAGCAACGTACTCCATCACCTCTCGGTCTTGTTGCCCTGAGACCTCAATCGTCACTGGGCGAATATCCCGACCTTGGTACAGCTTCACCATGTTCACGTGTACCAACATCTGGTTCTTTGTTCTGTATTGAGTGCTTAGGATATAGTTAGTAGCATCAACTTTCTTGAGGACAGGGTATGGACCTAAATTGGATACTCACACTTGCTGTTAATGTTGGAGAACAAACCAGTATTAGGTATCCTACCTGAAATTTCCTGGGTGTCGTTTTATCGTTGTATCCTTTCTTTGCAGTTACCTGAGAATGTAAACACGGCCTGACATGGACAATCAAAGATAACTTTACTGAAATTAGCAGTCCTCTTCCAGCAGTTCCTCCTATTATGATGTCCAGGAACTGTTCTCTTGTGATGTCCAGGATCTGTCCTCTTGTGATGTCCAGGATCTGTCCTCTTGTGATGTCCAGGATCTGTCCTCTTGTGATGTCCAGGATCTGTCCTCTTGTGATGTCCAGGAACTGTCCTCTTGTGATGTCCAGGATCTGTCCTCTTGTGATGTACAGGATCTGTCCTCTTGTGATGTCCAGGATCTGTCCTCTTGTGATGTCCAGGAACTGTCCTCTTGTGATGTCCAGGATCTGTCCTCTTGTGATGTCCAGGAACTGTCCTCTTGTGATGTCCAGGAACTGTCCTCTTGTGATGTCCAGGAACTGTCCTCTTGTGATGTCCAGGAACTGTCCTCTTGTGATGTCCAGGATCTGTCCTCTTGTGATGTCCAGGATCTGTCCTCTTGTGATGTCCAGGAACTGTCCTCTTGTGATGTCCAGGAACTGTCCTCTTGTGATGTCCAGGAACTGTCCTCTTGTGATGTCCAGGATCTGTCCTCTTGTGATGTCCAGGATCTGTCCTCTTGTGATGTCCAGGAACTGTCCTCTTGTGATGTCCAAGATCTGTCCTCTTGTGATGTCCAGGATCTGTCCTCTTGTGATGTCCAGGATCTGTCCTCTTGTGATGTCCAGGAACTGTCCTCTTGTGATGTCCAAGATCTGTCCTCTTGTGATGTCCAGGAACTGTCCTCTTGTGATGTCCAAGATCTGTCCTCTTGTGATGTCCAGGATCTGTCCTCTTGTGATGTCCACGATCTGTCCTCTTGTGATGTCCAAGATCTGTCCTCTTGTGATGTCCAGGATCTGTCCTCTTGTGATGTCCAGGAAGTGTCACGGCACCTTAGTTGTAAAGAGCCGAAGGGAGGGGGAATTTTTGCCAGCAAACACCATATTGCCAGTTGTATGTTAACGACTCTTCTTAAAATATTTTCCATATTCAAAGGCGACCTTTGGCAATTATAGAAGATATAGTCAACAATTGACATTATTCCTATGGACAATAATTACCGTTAAGTGTAATCCATAGTGTCCACACTGGCTGCCTTAACTAAGGATATAAGGTTTAGAAGGCTAATACATGGCATCAACGCGTCAGCTGACTGTCAGGGCGGGCTGAATGACAATGTTACATGCTTCCCCCTGTGAGGAGGGTCTGATAAACATACAAGTACTTATAATCTCTACCACATATTTAGTGGGTTTACAGATCAGATTTGTCCTCTACAGATCGCCCGTATGTATCCCGAGTGGGTAGTGAGAGTCTACACCATCCCACAGCCCACCCTCGCTGCTGACTTCTGCCCACTCCTGAGACGTCACCCCCACCTGTACATCTGTGACGTCACCAACCTGCCACCACCCGTGGGCAACATATCCGGCCTCCACCCCATGATGTGGCGCACGGCCCCCCTGGGGGACCCCCAGCTGACACACCTCATGGTCCGGGACACTGACTCACAGGTGCCAGATCATCTCTCATTCATCTCTGCCTCCTCGAATTCATTCTTTCTCGCACCATTTCTTACCTTTATTCGTGAGGTTTTCTATGTTTTATGTATTTGTGTATTTCGGTGTACTCATCTACCTATACTCATCTAGTTATATTCATCTAATTTTACTCATCTAGTTATATTCACCAAGATGTGCTTTCTGGATCAGAAACCTGCTGCTATATCCCATCTATCGACCATCAGTTCAATTTAGTAACTCTTTTCACTAGTTTTTTTAAGTATTGAACTACAACTTCAATGACATATGATGTTACTGTAATTTCCCTGTGTATTCAAAGAGGGGCGTCAGAGGTACAACTACTAGACGACAGAGCCAGAGTTCATGGCTCTGTGGAATTGTGTGAAATCCTAGTTCGGCTTCAGTGGAAACCTCGGGAATCCTCGTGAGTTCAGCAGAACCCCAGGTTGCAATTGTTTTGACCATGTCGTGGTCTAGAATGTGTGTCTAGAAAGTGTAATGAATTAACCCAGCGCATAGGTTCGAAACCTCATCACAGCTCCTGTGGATTTTCCGTGTATTGAAGTGTTCCCAAAATGAACTCATATTGTTCGTTCTATTGTGGGAAAGTTACTCGAATCTATAATAGCAAATAAAATTCGTCTTCATCTTGAAAAACATAAATTAATAATTGAGTCGCAACATGGTTTTATAAATGGCCGTTCATGTTTAACAAATTTGTTATCTTTTTATTCTAGCATAGTTGAGGCAGTTGATAGTTGTAAGGATTGTGATGTTGTGTACCTTGACTTTAGCAAAGCTTTTGATACAGTGCCACATGAAAGACTGATTAAAAAGATAGTCTCATGGTATTGGGGGTGCTATATTAAACTGGATTAGGGCATGGCTATACCAAAGGAAACAGAGTTAGTATAAATGGAATCAAGTCAGAGTGGGAAAATGTTGTAAGTGGAGTGCCTCAAGGCTCTGTCCTGGGACCTCTGTTGTTTATAATATATATAAATGATTTAGATTCAGGTTTGAGTAGCAACATTTGCAAATTTGCCGATGATACGAAAATCGGTAGGGAAATTAATTCGGAGGAGGACTCACTATCACTTCAAGTTGATCAAGATCGGGTTTTGAAATGGTCAAAGGATTGGCAGATGCAGTTTAATGCTGATAAATGTAAAGTTCTGAGGTTAGGTAATGATGATAGAGTTACAAGATACGAGCTAGATGGTGTTGAGATTGCGAAGTCGGATTGCGAAAGGGATCTGGGAGTTATGATTAGTAAGAATTTAAAACAAAAGGATCAATGCATAAATGTTCGTAATAAGGCAAATCGGACACTTGGATTTATTAATCGCAGCGTTAGTAACTAGACACCTGGTGTGGTTCTCAAGCTATATCTTGCTCTAGTTAGGCCCCATTTAGATTATGCAGTTCAGTTTTGGTCGCCATATTATAGAATGGATATAAATTCACTTGAACGTGTCCAGCGTAGGATGACTAAGTTAATTCCCCAAATTAGAAATCTTTCATATGAAGAAAGATTAACAAAGCTTAAGTTGCATTCACTGGAAAGGCGAAGAGTTAGGGGTGACATGATAGAGGTTTACAAGTGGGTGTATGGACATAACAAAGGGGATATTAATAAGGTATTAAAAGTATCAACACAAGACAGAACACGAAACAATGGGTATAAATTGGATAAGTTTAGATTTAGGAAAGACTTGGGTAAATACTGGTTCAGTAACAGGGTTGTTGATTTGTGGAACCAATTACCGCGTAACGTGCTGGAGGCTGAGTCCCTCGATTGTTTCAAGCGCGGGTTGGACAAGTATATGAGTGGGATTGGGTGGTTATAAATAGGAGCCGCCTCGTATGGGCCAATAGGCCTTCTGCAGTTGCCTTTGTTCTTATGTTCTTATGTAACATTGTGGAGGTGGGGTCCCTCGATTGTTTCAAGCATGGGTTGGACATGTATATGAAAGGGATTGGGTGGTTATAAATAGGAGCTGCCTCGTATGAGCCAACAGGCCTTCTGCAGTTGCCTTTGTTCTTATATTCTCATGTTTTTATGTTATATGGAGGACCTATGGCAAATCCACGACCGAGAGACGGCTTCCTGAACCTTGCAGGAATCAACCTCACTGAGGACCAAGTCACTCTCCTAAATCTGGGTGTAAACTGTCACGGTATGTCCAGACCAAGTGAGATGGCCCGGAAAGTGGAGTTGGAAATCCTGTTGGACGACATATTCGACCTCGAGACACAAAAGAAGGTCACCACCAAAGACACCTTACAATCAGAACTTATCGCAGAAGGAGGAAAGAATCGAGGCAACTACAGAAGCACCATACTGTCCCCCGAGCTCAAAGCGGCAGCTAAGAGCCTTCGTGAGAACGAGGAGATAGTCGCCAGGAGAGATGACTAGTCGCCAATATACGTCATTCTTAAAAAAGACGAATATTTGGCGAAAATGAACCTCATACTCTATGACCAAACTAAATTCCAAAGGGTAACGAAGAACACTACAGCCGAATTGAAAGCAAAGGTCAACAAATTGATCGAAACTGTGAACGCCAAGAAATCCGGACTCCACCTGCCAAAGATTATTGGGGAATACAAACCTGGATACACGTATGGAAATGTCAAGACACACAAGCCTGGAAACCCACTTTGGCCATTCATCAACCAGATACCCACACTTACGTACAGACTGGCGAAGCAACTCAACGGCTTGCTGACTCTTTATGTCCCTTGCGCCTTCAGCCTGAAGTCTCCAAAGGAATTTGTTGACTTACTGTGGGGAACACGGGCCACAGGGATAAGAGCCTCGTTGGATGTAGAATCACTGTTTACCAACGTACCTGTGGATGAAACAATCGGGATGATAGCGGACAGAGTGTATCGTGATCTGGACTGTACTCCTCTTGACATACCAGAAAACATTCTAAGGAAACTATTCCAAGCTTGTACTAAAGAGGCACCCTTCTTGAGCCCAGATGGGTCCATGCATAAGCAAGTAAATGGGGTCGCCATGGGTTCTCCCCTAGGTATCCTGTTTGCGAACTTCTACATGGGCACCATCGAACAAAAGGTCTTAGTCGACATGAACTTGAAACCTAACCTAACTTTTTCGGCTACCTAACCTAGCCTATAAAGATAGGTTAGGTTAGGTTAAGTAGGGTGGGTTAGCTACGGTCATATATCTACGTTAATTTTAACTCCAATAAAAAAATTGACCTCATACATAATGAAATATGTAGCTATATCATTTCATAAGAAAAAAAGTAGAGAAAATATATTAATTCAGGAAAATTTGGCTTATTAGGCAAATCGGGCCTTGCATAGTAGGCCTAGTACGACGTTCTGGCTACAATGTACATTATATATATATATTTATATATATATACATAAATACATATATATATATACTTATATACATATATAATCTTTGGACAACACCCACCAGTGGGACTCGAACCCAGAAAGCACAACTACCTTCCAGTAGCTGGCATAACTAGTATGCTTTAACCCACTACGCCATCAGACCTTACAAAAGAAGTAGATAGTTCGAGATATATATCTCAAACATCTCCACCTCCCGAAGGCACCAGATGAGTGAGGGGTCAGTCTGCATTTTTCGTCAAGCCACTGTCAATGTGAGAGAACTCGTGTCCAGCTTATAAGCCTATACTTGCATAAACCACAAGTGAAGATTAACAATCTTTGGACAACACCCACCAGTGGGACTCGAACCCAGAAAGCACAACTACCTTCCAGTAGCTGGCATAACTAGTATGCTTTAACCCACTACGCCATCAGACCTTACAAAAGAAGTAGATAGTTCGAGATATATATCTCAAACATATATATCTGGGTTCGAGTCCCACTGGTGGGTGTTGTCCAAAGATTGTTTATCTTCACTTGTGGTTTATGCAAGTATAGGCTTATAAGCTGGACACGAGTTCTCTCACATTGACAGTGGCTTGACGAAAAATGCAGACTGACCCCTCACTCATCTGGTGCCTTCGGGAGGTGGAGATGTTTGAGATATATATCTCGAACTATTTACTTCTTTTGTAAGGTCTGATGGCGTAGTGGGTTAAAGCATACTAGTTATGCCAGCTACTGGAAGGTAGTTGTGCTTTCTGGGTTCGAGTCCCACTGGTGGGTGTTGTCCAAAGATTGTTAATCTTCACTTGTGGTTTATGCAAGTATAGGCTTATAAGCTGGACATGAGTTCTCTTACATTGACAGTGGCTTGACGAAAAATGCAGACTGACCCCTCACTCATCTGGTGCCTTCGGGAGGTGGAGATGTTTGAGATATATATCTCGAACTATCTACTTCTTTTGTAAGGTCTGATGGCGTAGTGGGTTAAAGCATACTAGTTATGCCAGCTACTGGAAGGTAGTTGTGCTTTCTGGTTACGAGTCCCACTGGTGGGTGTTGTCCAAAGATTGTTAATCTTCACTTGTGGTTTATGCAAGTATAGGCCTATATACATATATATATACATATATTAGTATATTTTGGTAGCAGTCTTTCCTGTAGACATATATTATTAAATATGACCGAAAAAGTAAGATTAATAATTCTAACACGAATTTTCTCAATCTTTCGTACATTTCTTTTCACTGTTGGAGGTAAATCAAAAATCAATTCTCCAAAATTCATTTTTATTTCTAGTCTGACGCGACACGAGCGCGTTTCGTAAAACTTATTACATTTTCAAAGACTTTAGTTTACAAATACACAACTGAATAGAACTTACGCATCTCCGATTTTATATCTACATTTGAGTGAGGTGGATGGGGTGAGGTGGCACTAATAGGGTATTAATTTCATCAACACAAGACAGAACACGAAACAATGGGTATTGAATAGAAGTGATTGTAGAAAGCCTATTGGTCCATATTTCTTGATGCTTCTATATTGGAGCGGAGTCTTGAGGTGGGTAGAATATAGTTGTGCATTAATTGGCTGTTGATTGCTGGCAG